TGTTTAATTTGGACTCTGTGCATGCTCTTTGAGGTGGTGACCATAGACTTTAGGCATTATATGACTGACAGACAAGAACGGTTTGACCTAAAAATATCACATTTTAAACTACTGCTCCACAAGTATGAGCAACTGGTCTTCTGCTGAGGCCAGAGTCTGCATTGAAGATTACCTTGATCAGATCAACACATATGACAGAAGATCCAGAACAGAAGTGTAGAAACTGCTCAGCATTTCTGACATAACGTTGCAGATGATTGAATACGATCTGATCTGAGATCTGAGAGAGATTACCTGTGATGTTTGAAGTCACTGTGACACTTTTGTGCTTCTTTGTGTCATAGAGAGACAGGAGACTTTCCTGGTCTGAGACATTCAGCAGTGCAAATGGCATGATTTTGGAGAAGCATCTATTATATATTTGGGCTCTTGAAGAATTGCTTGTTTGTATGGCAACTTTCATGGTGTTTGTTGGAGGGATGCAATGAGAGCCCATTCTTGTGAAGAGGTCGAGCAAATCCTCTTCATCACTTCATTCCTCCAGTGTGTCTTGACCAGCCTTTGCAACCGCAGATCGTTCAGTCGAAGAGAGGGAGTTGTGGAAAGATGACATCATGACATCATCACTGACTGAGTCAATGCTAAAATGAAAGCACTGAAGCGTCACTGGCAGAACACCGAGGTCAAGTCATCCTTTCACCAGATCCTTCAACTGACTCCCATTCAGAGTCAGAGAAGTCTGGTCTCAGTCTAGGACACACTCATCTTCCCCTTCACACTGTTCAAGGAACTGATCCCAGAATGCAGTGTGAACTTCTCTGGACACTCCAGCATCATCTACAACATCTCATTTACACACTTCATCTTCAGAGTAGATTGAATTATAACACAGCCAAAAGATCTTCTACAACCTTTACCCTGTGTATTAAAGCACACGATGTGGATCTGCTGAGTTTCCAGATCAAATTGTAGGAGAAAGATGGTTTCTTGAATGTGACGCAAATCTTCTGGTGCTGAAGGATTTCCCATCTAGAAAAAGGGCAAAACCATTATTTGTAATATTCAATTATTATTTATAATATTTATATTGTAACACTTTCAAACAATTATTTCGGTTAATCTGAACATGATTTTATTTTGTGTCACTGTAAAGTGAGACATTTATATATAATTACAAAACATTACAAAGTAATCAACTTTAAAAGATTAAGAGTAATAAAAGATTGTAATGTACTTTCTGTGAACAACGGGACACTGGAGTTGATAATTGAGTAATGACTGAAGATATATTTCCCTGACACAGTCCAGTCTCCATTCTTCATAATTGCACAGAATGAAAAACTGAATTTACATTAAAACTGTTCCAGTAAAACATGCCTATATGGTTTATTCAGTAATACTTTACAATAAGATTCACTAGTTAACATTAGTTAATGTATTTACTAACATGAACTAACAATGAACAATACATTTACAGTATTTATGAATCTGTGTTAATGTTAGTTCATATAAATCCAGCTGTTCATTGTTTGTTCATGTTTTTCACAGTGCATTAACTAATGTTAACTAATACAACCTTTAAGTTTAATAGTGTATAGTACATTTTGAAATGAATATTAGCTAATATTGTTAATTCTTAGTTCAAGCTAACTAACTAATGTTAACTAATGAACTTTATTATAAAGTGTTACCGTTTGTTCTTGTATATTGTGTGTATGATCTATAGAGTCTTTGTATGATTGTGTAATATGTACACACAATAAATCTAAACAAAAGTCAAATCTTATATAAATCTGCAGTTGTGTGTGTTTTGCAGTGTCAGTGCAGGTATATGAGGACTGATGATCTATAAAGGGCTTCACATGACATGAACATGTTGAGTCTCTTACCAGCGGCGCAGGATTACTGGAGAGTGGCGACGCCTCAGTTTCAGCTTCATTCAGCTCTGCGTTCTGGAGGATACACACACACACACACACACACACACACACACACACACACACACAAAACATACAAGTGACACACACTGTTACAAACACATAAAGTGTCACTGTAGATCATGTAACAGTTGTCTAGTGAAGAGTGAGAAGCACAAAGCGGGATCGTATGTATTGCGACCTTATTTTCTATTATAATGAGGATATACATTATAGTTTTAAGGTTATTTTATAACTCCCGTTTAATGCTTTTAGTCTGAATATTTCCTTTTTCCACATCTATACTGAGACATTTGGTGTATTAGGAGCACATTTACCAGTGTGATGTTCTCGTTCAGATGTCATCACGATTGCTTGGTCTTCATCTGTTTGTCCAAGTTCATCACCTTCATCATTCACTCACCTGTGTCTTCCTCATCTTCATCTCCAAGGGTTTCTAATGTGTTGATGTGTAGTGGAGGAATCTGATTGAATTCCTGCCTCGTTGTTCATCACAGAGCTCATGTGAATGCTGTGGACTCTTCTGCACACTTCTCCTCGTCACTCGAGGTGTGTGTGAGTGTGTGAGACTGTGTGTGTTCTTCTGGGAACATTTGCTGATGAACGGGAGCTGTGTGAAGTGCTGGTGTCTCGACTCTCATGGTCTCTAAAGTCAAACCGCTCTGAGGAACATCCTCCATTCCTCTAGTTCTCTGAAGAACAGGCAATAACATTACATGATGAACTCAGCGATTCAGATAAATCAGTGATATTAACAGACAATCGGCTAAATTAACCACATTTACAACAATTCAGTCTCTGTATTTAAACATGTGTGATTTTACTAACCTTCCTCTGGTGTCTCTTTTAGATAAAAGTCCGTCATCAATAAATGTGTGATTGAATCGTGTGAATCACTGTCACATGCGATAACAGTTTAGCAGCCGGTCTCTCAGTATCACTGTCTAATCAAGTGTTGAGTGTTCATTATATTCCTCTTTTCTCCATCAGATAAAGATTCTCCGTCTGTGACACACACCTCCTGTTTACTGCAAATGTCAAATCTCAACATTTTCAGTTTGGTTTGTTCATATCCAACAGTGATATTTAAGGGAATTTGGTTTCTTTTAACATCACAAACAGGAAAAGTGAAGTCTGTTTTTGGACATTTTGGTGACTGTCCATTTGGGGGGGAAAAAAGGTTCTTTCCCATTTCCATGATTTGTAAAACAGTTTTCTTCTTCTTTTCATCCGTCACATGTCTAGTGTCGCCATCATAACCGCTCCTCACTTGTTGGTCTCCATTATGGCAGAAGTGAAGACATCCAATTTCAATTCTTCTGGAGGTTTTTCTGCAGATTCATTTTTGTGTCTTTCCAAAAAAAAAATTTCTATTAGGGAAGAAACATGCTTTAACATTCAACGTTTTAGCTGACTTTGATCCCAATTTTCTTGCTTAAGTTTTATTTCTCCCTGGGCAACCCGGTCTCACCCCAAGACGTCATATAACTGACGTTTTGGGACGTCTTTTGACCATATGTCAATATTCGCCTTTTTAGGGCCCCCTTAAACGTCGGTATGAGGTTATGGGATCCTAACTCTACCTTAGGACTTATATATAAAGCCCATGAGAACCGTGGAGAGTCGACAGCCGCTCCACTGCCCTGCTGAAAATGTGAAGCAGAAACACTTAATGTCAGATAACGATAATAATTGGACTTTGGGTTTGATTTATTTACTGTTTTCAGTGGTTATGAGGAGCATAAGAGAGAAAATTGGTAATCATTGTTTAGGTACATTAAACCACGTCACATCATATTGTCAACATGGACGGCTACTTGAAGCAGAATAGTGGGTGATATATGTATATACTTTTTAAAAATTTCTTCTTCATAAAACGAGTCGGACATCATCACATTTTTGTACATATTTTTATTTATTTGCATTAGTAAGCATTGTCATCGTCAATAAATCATTGCGTTATTTGCATCGTCTTTCAAAACATGACCTGTGCAAAAGAGAGAAAAATAAATGAATGTGTCTCTGTCCCCAGCACATTTCAGACCACACTGACGCCCATGGGTTCACATTCAGATTCACAGTGATTACTGTCCCTCATCTTTGACAAAACTGGCCCTGATTTGTTTTAAGATAACTGGGTCACATTTGCTGCAACATATGTGGGCCATATTTGGTTAACACCCAGATTAGTCATTGTCAATTGTGCAACATTTTTGCCATAGGTGGCCCACATTTGGTTTGTGATATTTGGGCCATATTCATTATTTATCATATGAGCCACTTTAGGCCCACATTCAGAATACACATTGCCATGAGTGCCGCATCTTTGCCTAAAAAGGCCCACATGTGATGTAAAATATTTGGGCCATATTTGCCATTTTACACATGGGCCACTTCAGGCTCACACACATTTTGTCGGGCCATAAGAAGGCCTGCAGTGCCGCATCATCGCCTGAAGTGACCCACATCCGTCTGCTATCTGAGGAGCGAGTGAAACACACACAAATGCTGTTAACTGGGGAAAATGTTTAGTCGGTCTGTAGAGGAGAAGTAGGGTGACCATATTTTGATTACCAAAAACCAGGACACTCGGCCCAGCAAACACATGGGCCAACTCAAATACTCGAAGTTTACTCAAAGACAACTTATTAATTTCAATACATTTAAAGTAGGTTATGCCTCCTCTGTATGGATAGAAAATTGTTATATTATTATATGAAAACAGAACAGTTGGTCACCCTAAGGGGAGAAGAGACTTCATCCACTGAACAAAGACAATATACTGTACATCAGAAACACACACACACACACACACACACACACACACACACGCACACACACACACACACACACACACACACACACACACACACACACACACACACACACACACACACACACACACACACACACACACACACACACACGTTGCTTACTGTGCCATAAGGCTTACATCCTGGTTACCCAGTGCTGACTGTGCCATTCATTTGCCAAATGTTGTCCAACTATTTTGCAATTATAACGGAGTTCGTTGTTATGGGAAAGAGGAGGCGGGAACCGGCAAACATTCAACACTTTTAATACAAAATAAAACGTCTACAAAAACGAAAGAATAAGCCAGCAGACAGAAACAGAACATAACACAAGTTCAGGCCTGTTCTTCTCTCAATCTCCACTGTCTCCTCCTTTTATGCTTCCGCTCCTCCGTGAGAGATACGAGAGATACTGTGGCAGGAGTCATTTGGCTGAATAATAAACCAACATTAATCACATGTTTCTAATACGCATGCTAACACACACGCTGCTTTATTTAATAGTGAATCTGAGTCTCTTCCACCTGTATGAAACACATTTACACATGTATTTCTCCTCATAGACAGCAGTGAGACTCTTCTGTGGATCACCTGATGGTTTCTGCTCCTCTCATCTCCGTTTCACAGATTTAAACTATGTAAAAAGTCTCCTAATCTTGGTAAATAGATCATCATCATCTGCTCTGTAAAGTGGAACAGAAGAGAAAACAATCAGTGTTCAGTGGAACAAAGTACAAAATATTATATTTCAATTACTGTTTTTTGAGTAAAAATAAGTTAAATTGAATTCCTGTAATCCATCGCCATATTTTGAAAAGTTTGGATCAATGAGCATTAAATAAAAGTCCATAACTTTCTTCTGTTCAAAATGTATATAATGAGCGAGTTCATCATGAATCCATCAATCCGTGTTTGTCTTATCCTGAACCACTATGGTCCACCTATAATAGGCGTTTACATTGGGACTATTTTACACTGGTTCGGGTCGCTGCCGCTGCGGAGTAGCCCAGTACCTGCGTGACTCGTCATAGACGTACACAGAGAGAAGTAGATCCGGCTACATCGTTCTTCCGAAAGATGCATTATTCTGTTAATAAACATTTATTATCACTTGCTATTGCGCCAAAAGCGTAAAAAATAAAGCCTCATAAATAACTTACAAGTATTGAGGCCCCAGAGAGTCATTTAGTAATAGGTTACATTCTTTCATTTTTACCAACACCATCACTGTGAATATTTTTGTTTTTGCATTTCAAATAGGGCCAAAATATTTTCTTGGGTAAAAGGGGGTCTCAGACAAGAAAAGGTTGGGTACCACTGTTGTAATCAGGTTAATTCTTGACTTTACATGATCTTCCTAGTCTGGGTTTCCACATGCTGCCTTCCTGCAGAGCGATTTTATTCACGCAGAAAGGCAGTCTAGATACCATGGCCAGATTTTCGGCTCATTTAGGGAACCAATCACAGAACGGGGAGGGAGCAGCAAGACGATGACAACATGTGACACACCGAAGCAGTTTGTTTATATCTATGGATTCAACATGGCAGCAGACGCGAAGCTACCTTTTGATGCAGCCTTAGATATTGTTTTAAGTAGTTTAGAATGCAAGTTTATTTAGAAAAAAGAGCAGCTTTTGGCGTTATTGTTGTCTCGCCATTAATCGCCCTAATGGAGGACCAGTACAGGAGGCAATCAACCTGGAATATCTGCCGCTCAGCTGTGTCCCGAGAAAGAAAATACGATAAAGAATTGTCGATACCAACTTCTGTTCGGCAGTCCCGAGGCCTGGATGAGCGCAAAGTGGCAAGACATGTTAGCCACAGAGTTGTATAGTACCAACCTGCTAGTAGGCATCGTCTTCGATATATCATATTGTCATTATGCCTGTAGACTACCTACTGTGGTTGTCACAGTGCCAAAGTTGTGTGGCTTTTCAATATCAATATACAGCTACTGCTTTAGTAGCATAACTTTCAGCTGTGCACACATACTCGATTAAAGTTGTTGACACTTTAGTCATTAAATGAACATTTAAATTTTTTTAAACTTGTGAAGTACGAGCACAAACAATTTCCAATGCAAATAACAACTTCAACATCTATGTTAAACTGTACTTAATACTTGTGTTTTTCTAATTGAAACGATTGGCTATGAGCTACGTACAGGCGCATTTGATATAGACATTCTTAGCACCCAATAAACGGCGCCAGGCATTCGTAAACCACACCTCAAATACGGGAAAATGAGCATATGGTTCCCAGACCCAAGTCTCAGCGTTAGCCAGGCTATGATCTTGCAGAGATATTTGTGTTTTTAAATATAATAGATTTAAATCTGAATCATGTTGATATGTGTGTCTGTGTGTGTCGGTGCGACTCCTATTCAGTCTCTGTAAAGGAGAAACTAATGAGTGTACGGCGTATGGAATAAACCACAGCGAGCAAATACTAATGTTATTTTGAGTTAAACACAAGCCTTTAGTTAAAGCCGTTTGTCCTCTAGTTTAAACATGTTTGTAGGCTCTTAGTAAATAACTGAGAGTAAAGTAAGTGTCGAGTAGTGTGACGTGTTGCTTGTCACAGTAAAAACACACTAGAGACAGAGACATTGCTCATGTGAGCTGGACGCTGTGAGCTGAAGCTGGAACTGCACTGATTTTAGCAGGAGTGCAGCGTTTCCTACAATCTGACCAAGTCAGTTTCACACTCAAATGATTCACTTCTACTGACACAGTTCATAAAGCAGGTGTTGATGTATAAAGCTGTGACAGTGAGCTTTTCTTCTCTTTCCTCCTTTGTGTTAAACTTTTCAATAACTTCACATTTTGTTCTCACACAAACTCTTTGTTGCAATAAATCTTATTGATAATTTCCTTTTACGAATGTTTGAAAGGTTTGTTCACATATCAGAGGTAAATGAAGATGTCTTTAATATCTCAGTGATGTTTCCTCACCTCAGGACACAGTTTGAGTCTCGTAGTTCGTCTCTGAGCCGCTGCTTTGAGTCTCCTATCTCATTCTCTCTCAGATCAAGCTCTTTTAAAAACTGCAGAGCTTTTGAGTTCGTCAAAGACTGAGTTAAAGAAGAAACATCTGTAATGTCACAGTACCGTAGACTAGAGAGACACAAACAGAGGAAGAGAGATTATCTTACAAACAAATCATGAATGTGAAGAATTTTACACAGATATAATGTGAACTCAGACTCACTGTCAGATATTGAGAATAAAGTGTTTTAGTTTAATAAACCCAGAAAGTGCACTGCTATAACCAATGAAACATAAGCCCTGCTGTCTTCAAATAAATAAACTTCAGTCACACTGTAATTGCTGTACAGTATAATGACACTAACTGTAGTTTCTCCAGCTTGAATTGTGGGTTCATCAGTAGATCACTGAGGTTTTTCACTCCAGAGTCTCCCAGATTATTCTCACTCAGGTCCAGCTCTCTCAGGTGTGACGGGTTTGATTTCAGAGCTGAAGTCACATCAGAACAACCTTCATCTGTCATATAACACCAGCTTAACCTACATTAGCAGAGAGAGAGAGAGAGAGAGAGAGAGAGAGAGAGAGAGAGAGAGAAAATGAAGAAAATAAGAGACTCTTTATTCTGTAAAGTCACATCATCTTCATCAGCAAATAAAACAGACAGAGGAAGAGAGATCTTCACCTTCATTTCATCAGATCACAAAATACTAAAGTGAAAATGTTTGTTCAAATATAATGTTAATGTGTTCTTGTTTATACAGTTGAAGTGATTTTAAGCATTTTGATTCTTGTATGTGAATGTGACTGACCTCAATCTCTCCAGTTTACAGTGTGAATCCTTCAGTACGGCACATAAGTGCTTCACTCCTGTGTTTCCTAGATTATTCCAGCTCAGGTATAGCTCTCTCAGGTGTGACGGGTTTGATTTCAGAGCTGAAGTCAGGATGAGACTCTGTTTCTCTGTAATACTGCAATCATTCAGACTGAAGACAGAGAAATAACAATAGTTCACATCTATGATGATCATCTTATTGAAGAGCTACAGCAGCATTTAGTTTCCAATAGTCTGTTTTAAAACCCAGTCACACTAGTTCTGTGCGCTGGAAGACACTGTTTCTTCTCTTTCATTTCTAACTATTTATTTGACGTCTCTCTTCTTCATTCTCTGTTGAAAATGCAGATTTCTGTGTGTACACAATCAGTGCATTGTATCAGATGTTGGAAATTAAACAATTACTATCTACACTCTAAAAAGTTTTATATGATTTACTACATTTTTTTGGTGAAAAATGTTCACACTCAAAAATATTGATTCCATTTTAAAGCAGTGAAATCAATTACAATACACTGTATAAACTAACTAGAAAAAAAGCACACAAAAATGTGTATAGGGAAACCCAGAAAGTGCACTGTTATAACCAATGAAACATAAGCCCTGCTGTCTTCAAATAAATAAACTTCAGTCACACTGTAATTGCTGTACAGTATAATGACACTAACTGTAGTTTCTCCAGCTTGAATTGTGGGTTCATCAGTAGATCACTGAGGTTTTTCACTCCAGAGTCTCCTAGATTATTCCCGCTCAGGTCCAGCTCTCTCAGGTGTGACGGGTTTGATTTCAGAGCTGAAGACACATCAGAACAACCTTCATCTGTCATATCACAGCAGCTTAACCTACATTAGCAGAGAGAGAGAGAGAGAGAGAGAGAGAGAGAGGTTCAAAAATGCTTTAATTTCTACATTTCAGAAATCATACATTCATATACTCATTCTAAAAAAAGAACATGTACAAAACCCACAGATATTAAAATAATAATAATCAAAAATTCAGAACCATCACATCATCATAAATAGTACATAAAACATCATTAATACACCATATCTCAATAAAACTCCTAACATCATTTACAATATCATAATATGCGTACTCCACTTTAAGCCTCCCTTCCACTAATTTCCTAAACATCACTTCCGGATCCGTAGATGCCAACTGTAAGCCTTTGTTCTTCCTGGTCTTCCACACTGCCAATTTTGCAGTCCCAATAATATAATTCAATAAACAAACTTTCTCCCTCATCAAAAAACTATATTTTAACCCTCCAATAAACACTTTATCTGAAAAATCTTGATCAAATTTCCTGAACCATTCTTTAAGAAGATTAAAAAGACTCTGTAGTCTTTCACATTTTAAAAACAAATGTTCCAAGTCTTCCTGTTCACCACAAAACCTACATTCCCCACCCACAGCTGGATTCAAGTGTGCCACATGTCTGTCTGTAGCTATTGCCCTGTGAATAATCCTCCATTGCAGATCAGCAGTTCGCTTCTCCACTGGAGGTTTATACAGTGCTCTCCATCTGTCCCTTACGAGGAACTCTTTTGTCAACAGTCCTGGCCACCCAGAGGCTTTCACTCTCCTGAGCGATTCCTGATGTAGGACCTTCACCGTGATGTAATAAATGGCCTTCTTTGATGTAGACTCGAACAGTTCTATTTGAGGAAATTCAAAAAACAAGATTGAACCAGCCTCCTCACCTTCCAGATCCTCCTTACTTGCGGGAGCTATTTTTATCTTCGGAAATTCTTTTTCATCAGTTTCCTTCCTTGCAATGATCTCTCTGTAGCTGCTTGGTATTGCATTGAAAATTTCCTCCATCAGTTTTCTGTAAGTCTTAATGAACGTAATCCTGTCACCTCTCTGATGGTCTCAGCTGATCTCCATCCATTCCTGTCCAAGAGATGTCCCAGTTTTACAACGTTGTTCCTCAGTAAGCTCGTTCGTATACTCGCAGAAGATAACATCCTTGTCTGGATCATTGGATTAAACAGCAAGGGTTCTTCAGTGACCCATTGTCCTTGAGGATCAATCTCCCGTTCTACTTTAAAAACAGTTCTCCAGACCTTCAACATAGACTTATAAAATGGTGTAAGCTCAGACAAGCTCACTTCCTCCAGTTTTATTAGGAATAGATGTTTATCCAATCCCAGTCCTCCTGCTCTCTGTAGCAAAGCACAAGCAGTTTGGGCCCAAGTCAAGTCCTTATGATAGAGGAGTCTCTGTGCAGCTTGTATCCTGAATGCACTGATACGACTCCTCACATCCACCAACCCCTGGCCACCTTCCTGGACAGGTAAGTACAGCGCAGCTGCCCGGATCCAGTGCTGTCCACTCCAGAAGAAGTCCACCAAAGCTCTTTGTACACGGCAGATCAGTTCATCAGGTGGCTCCATGACAATAAACCTGTGCCACAGTGTAGAGGCAGTTAGGTTATTAATAACCAAAACTCGCCCTCTATATGATAACTGTGGTAATAGCCATTTCCATTTAGACAATCGGGCGAGCACTTTCTCCAGCATTCCCTCCCAATTCTTCATCTGGAACTGACTATTCCCTAAGTATACACCCAAGACCTTCAGCCCTTCCCTACCCCATTTCAACCCACCAGGAAGCTGCGGAAGTCTTTTACCCATCCACTGACCAATAATAAAACCCTCACTTTTCCCCCAGTTTAACCTAGCTGAGGATGCCTTCTCGTATTGCTCATACTCTTAGTTAAAACTGCAACATCATCCTGGCCTGTAATGAAAACAGTAACGTCATCAGCATAAGCCGATACAGACACCCTAGAACTTATGTCTCCATTTGGAATTAAGACCCCATTGAGATTTCTCCTTAACTTACACAAAAGAGGTTCAATGACAAGGCTATATAACTGTCCTGAAAGTGGACAGCCTTGCCTAATTCCCCGAGAAACAGGTATTGGCGCACTTAAACCACCACCAGCCTTCACAAGAACAAAAGCATTGGAATAACACAACTGAATATATGAAATAAAAATATCACCAAAGCCAAAATGCTGTAAAACATTATATAAATAGGCATGGTCAACTCTATCAAATGCTTTCTCTTGATCTAGAGAAAGAACACCAAACTCATAATTATTCAGCTGACCTATTTCAATAACATCACGCAATAAGGATATATTGTCCATTATAGATCTCTCAGGAATACAGTATGTCTGATCCTTCTGCACCAATTGACCCAGATAACACTTTAATCTATTAGCCAAACATTTTGAGAATATTTTGTAGTCAACACACAATAATGACACTGGTCTCCAATTTTTTAGAAGTCCCAGATCTCCTTTTTTTGGAAGTAGTGAAAGAACTGCCCGACTACAACTTATGGGAAGTTTCCTACTTTGACAGCATTCAGACAGTACCTCATAAAAGTCTTCTCCTAAAATACTCCAAAAACGTTGATAAAATTCAGCAGTTAATCCATCAATTCCTGGGGATCTACCCGTGGACAACTGCTGCATTGCCTCTGTAAGCTCTTGAAAAGTAATGTTATTATCCAGAGTCTTTTTCTGTTCACTCTCAATCTTCGGTAGATCATTAATTATATCCTCAGCACTTTCATGGTTACAGTTTTCAGAAGCATATAATTGTGAATAGAAATCCACCGACATCTTCCTTATTTCCACAGGATCTGTTGTTATAGAACCATCATGACGACCAGTGATGCCGGTTACTAAGTAACGCGTTATTCTAATTTGACCCCTTTTTTCAGTAACGAGTAATATAACGCGTTACTATTTCGAAACCAGTAATCAGATTAAAGTTACTTATCCAGGTCACTGTGCGTTACCATTTTTGTAATTTTCCTTAGTAAATACATATATTTATTTCTTCTTGCATCTCGGGGAGTGTGCGCGACAAGTCACGTTTTCAGCATGAGGTTCACGTCACGTGTACCACGCACGCAGTGACACAAATGTAAACAACGTTGAAGGGAGGAGAGAGATGCGCTTTTTCTAGCTGGAAATACAGTCACTATTTTGAGTTTGTCTCAGCTAAAGACGGCAACATTAAGGTCGGTTGTAAACTGCTGGCGGTGACAAAGTGTTATCTACCTACAGAAACACTTCGTCAAATTTGAAAAAAACAAAAAACAAACAAAAAACATTTGGATTCGCAGCACCGCACAGCCAAACTTACAGAGCAAGTCACGCCAGGTGATGCGAAGCAGAGAGCAGGTTCCACAAAAGCAAAAGCTGGACTTCGTTGCAAAACCAGTAAGTGGGGGGAGTTGAAGAAGTTGGTCGGGCAGTTTGTTGTGGAGGAAATTCTGCGATTAAACACGGTCGCCTTCGTTTCAACCCGAGAGGTTTGAGAAGCTTCTGTTAATGATGTACAACCACTGGTTTTACTCGCCTCTCTCCTTAACTCATAACATGGGATTAAACATAAGATAAAAAATAAAGATAAAAAAATAAAAAATGCAGATTATAAATAGTAAGTTGTCACAGTGTTAACTGTTAAATATTTCAGGTCAAGAAATTTTATAGTCTATATTTTAAATTTTTATAAAGACAAGTATTTATGTTAAGTGAGGTGAAGAAAGACTTAAGTTAAGTCAAGAAAGACTTTTTTTTTGTTTTGTTTTTTGTAAAACATGTTTTTTTCAGGAAATAGTTTTTAAGCTAAACTTTCAATGACAGGAGATAGATTGTTGATGTTACTGTTAAAAATACACTTCCAATAAAGTGAATGTTGGCAAAACCGGTTATAATTTTTATGTTGACGTCGTGTGTTTTTTTTATGTTGAGGTCGTTATGTTGAGGGTGTGTTGTCGGCAACTGCTGAATGTAACTAATAAAAGTAACTTGTAAGTAACTTAGTTACTTTTAAAATCAAGTAACTTGTAAAGTAACTTAGTTACTTTAAAAATCAAGTAACTTGTAAAATAACTTAGTTACTTTTTCAAAGTAACTGTGGCAACACTGATGACGACGAAGATGATACATTTGCTGCTGTGTTGTATTTTCCTTTCCAAGATTGAAAAAAAATGTGCTAGGGGTATCCATGTCTTTAACAGAGCAAAATCTTGCCCTTATTAGCGCTTTCTTTACTTGCTCTTGTAGAAAAGTTCCAAGTTCTTTATTTTTCTTTCGTAGAGCATCATCATGCACAAGTTCATTATCATTAAAAATTCCTTGTTCTAAAAGTTCGATGTCTCTTTGTAATCTTTTCACAGTTGCCTTCACCACTGATCCAACATGGGATGAATAATTCTGACAAAATATTCTTATGTTCACTTTTCCAACATCCCACCACTGACTGAGATTCTCAAACGAATCTTTCTTCATTTTCCAATTTTTCCAGAAAAAAATAAATGAGTCACAAAAATTAATGTCCTGTAGCAATTTAGCATTAAAATGCCAGTAATAACTCGGTTTTGACATATTTTTTAAAATAAAATCAAAAATAACCATGTGATGGTCTGAAAAACCGTTAGGCAAAATAGAAGCATTCGTCACCCGATTATTCCATACTTTACCCAAATAAAACTAATCGTGCACCACTGACTCTATTATCATTTACTTTAAGCCAAGTATATTGTCTAGATCTTTTATTAATAATTCTCCACACATCTAATAATTCGAATTCATGCAATACATTTACCAACATCCTACTTGATTGAGTATGTGGCTCTTCACCATTTCTATCAATTGTAAAATCCGTGGTGCAATTCCAATCTCCTCCCACAACAATACACACATTACTATTAATTGTCTTAATTAACCTTGTCATTTTCATAAAAAAATCAATCCTCTCAGATCCATTATTTGGTGCATAAACATTCATTAGCACAAATACCATTCCTCCAA